AATTCACGCGAAGAGCGGCGGTGCGCGCCGGTTGTCGGAACGGGGAGGGGGGAAGAGGCTTTTATTATTGTTTGCGGATGGGAAACGCGTGCAGCGGTGACGAGCGCCTGCCCGGGGGGGGGGGGAGTTGGCAGTATTCCCTTTGAGGGTCGTCTGTCTTCTCTGTAAGGCTGCCCTCTTTCTTTCTTTCTTTTATTCGTTCGTTCCTTCGTTCCGGGGAAATTCCTAAAGGCTGGTTGGGAGGGAGAGTCGACTGGTGTGCGTGCGTGTGTTTCTGGATGGGAAGTGAGCCCCCTCCTAACGGGAGGGAGGCCGGGACGAGGCAGGTGCATTCCCTGGGCGAGTTTGGGACGGCACAGCGAGGACCCTCCCAGGTTTTCTCCAGCCTCCCTTTTCCAAGGAAGGAACCGGCCCTTAGAGGAAGCTGCCGGCCATCCTGGATCTGCTGAGGCGTAAACCATACTCAGGATTTTCAGCCCCGGCTGCCCTCCAGCCATCCGCCCACCTTCTCTGAAGCAATGGTGGTCCCAGCAATGATGCTGCTCTTCAGATGTGCCGAGACTACATCTCCCAGGATGCTCAGCCAAGACCCAAGAAGGTCTTTTCAGAATCTTGGAAGAACAGGGGATGTTTTTAATCATTGCCTTTGATCAGGAGCTGGAGGAACGTGAGAAAGAGGATGGGGCGTCAGGTGGGAAGGGACCCTGAAAGTCTTCTGGACAAATGCCCTCGTGGACAAATGCCTGTCCAATCTTTTCTTGAATTTTTTTCACTGATGGAGCACAATGGAGCATCTACAGCAGGAAGTGGGTTGTTCGCTGCTGAATAGCTGGGGCAGTCAGGAACCAATCAATTTTCCCGGGTTGCAAAATGTACCTGTCAGACCTACCACAGCTTGTACTCCTAAATAGAAATGATCCTTGGCTCCATTTGTTGAGAAAGGTATATATTTATTAGAAGTCAAGTATATTGCAGTAATGATAGCCAGAACCGAGAATCGAATCAACTTTTCCCTCCCTTAACTGCCTCCCATCGCTGACACCTCCCCCCTGTCCAATCAGGTTGAAGCACGATGTTTTCAGAACTGTCATTTCAAGCGTAGGTTGGTATGCAGGTGCTTTTTTCTCCCAGCCGGGTGACCTTGAGGCAGTGTCTCAGGAAGATACAGCAGTTAAAACTTTCGCTTCCCCCCGCCCAAGCATTCCCCCTCCCATCCACTCTCCCGNGAGAAACACTGGACTAGACCAGGGGTAGGCAACCTTGGCTCTTTTATGACTCGTGGACTTCAACTCCCAGAATTCCTCAGCCAGCATGGCTCAGCATGGAAACCTCTCCCTTTTTCCCCTCAGCATGGCTGGCTCAGGAATTCTGGGAGTTGAAGTCCACGAGTCACAAAAGAGCCCAGGTTGCCTACCCCTGGGCCAGGGTCTCCTGTACGAGTAAAGGGCTCGACTAGATGACCTCCAAGGCCCCTTCCCAACTCGGCTAGTCCGCATTTTGTAAGAGCCGGGCCTTCTAAATTAGCGAATCCCCTAAACAAATCGATGGGAAAAGTTCAAGCGGGCGCTCGGACAGGCTTGGCCTGGTCCACGCCGGCCACGGGACAAGACTGAGGCCGGAGGTAGCAGCCGGAGAACGTCGGGCCGGCCCTGCCAGCGGGCCTCGCTGGCTGGGAGTGATGGGCATCGGAGTTCAACGCGTCCATGCTCCGCGGCACAGAGGCCCTTCCCTCCCCCCCCTCAGGCGCGCCTTTTCTTTACCGCGGTGGAGCCTTTCTTCACGGCCTCCTGGGCATATTCAACCTGAAACAGGTGCCCGTCCGGGGAGAAAACGGTGATCGCCCGGTCGTAACTCATGACAGCGGCGAGACGACAAAAACCACCGACCGGAGCCGAGAATGAAAGGAAGCAACAGCCGCGCGAGATCTCCCCCCTCAAAACAGCACCGTCACCTTCCCTCAGCGCGCCTGCGCCGCTGCTTTCCGATGCCGCGCGCAACACGCTATTCACGCAACACTCATACGCCGGCTCCTCCGCTTTTATCTGAGGCGCTACCCACCTACGGGGGAGGCAAGACAGGGGCCCTACGTCAAGCACGTACTGGCAGCCGTAGGCGGCTCGACCTATCCCCGTCGCCAACGCTCTTGGCCGGACACAACGGCGAACGGGATTGGCTTAGCTGGCTGAGGCGTAACACAGCCTGTCAGCCCAATACATCAGGAAGCGATTGGGCTTCCTCGTACTCTAATAGCTTAGGCAAGGGAAACCGGGCAAGCAGCCGGGAAGCTGGCCGGACGCTACGCAGATGACGTACGCGCGGGTTAACCCGCGCCTTCTCCTCCCTGACTTTCCACCTGCTGCTCCCACGCACTTGGCGTAGCGCTGCCTTCTTTCCCTACG